CACCCTTACCACAACAGCAGCTTCAGCAAAAGCAAAAAATCAAGTACGGGGTCGAACTTAATACAAGATAAGTTTTTCGCTATCGTTACAGGACCGATGAGAGTTACTAATTATCTGAGTCAAATTCAATTCAAAGTTGGAAAGAAGTGGGATTTGTTTGGTTTATTTACAAGGTTTTCAGCCAGGGGTTGGATCAACAAAAGTAGGGTTGCTCAGTGAGTAAATAAAATTTTCCTCACTTTTCCAGGTATAACTGCTTGAATATGAGGAAAATCGACCAAAATTTTACTCACTTTTCGAGATTACCAATTGACCACTGATCATACTTAAATCTTCAATGTTTGTAAATATTGTACATATCTAATCCTGTATTAACATCCAAGTGGATGTACTTCAATCATGTCGAATATGTCATGTAATATTTATGGCCACAAAAATAAACAAATGCAGCATTGCGCATTTTGCACCTTATGTCGTTTTCGTTTTTGCGGTGTAGCTACACCGGTGCTACACTGCCGTACACCGAAATAATTTAGGGTGTAGATATAGGATGCACCTTTGTTTACAAACAAATTATGTTGAGCTGTTAAAGACTCGCGCTTATTCCTGCTTACACTACACCGGTGCTACACCGCAAAAACGAAAACGACATTAGTAGACTCCTAAGCTGAAATTATTTTCTCAGTCCCGATCCCTCACCTCACCCACAGGCGCGCATGCTTTGATCGTTTTACTTGATTTGGTTTGATTATTTTCCACTTACGCGCTTATCAGATTGTATTGAATTGTTCTGTTCCACTGATTTCCTATCGGCTTCATTCCAGAATAAATAGTCGGGAGAAAAGTTCATTGTACCAGTGTACATTCATCGATATGTGGGTATTTTCAAAAAACAGTTGTGAAATAATTAATCAATTATTTCAACAATTGCACAGCTTGCAAGAGTATGGAGAAAAACCAAAAACGGCGTCATTAGGAAGCTTCGGAAAATCCGGAAACAGAAAATCTGTCGCGTCTTTCCTACCCTGATGACGAGATGGAATATCCCGGAGGAGAAGAACGCTAGATCTCTGCTTGTAATGATGACCCGGCCGTGATTGTAGATTACGAGTTGAATTAAACCGGTAAAAATCGTGGCTACGCTCAATCTATGCTGCCTAGTGTTTTGTATGACTGTTGGCTGCTGGTATCGGTTCGTGAGTTAAAGGGTCAGAGTTCAGGAAAAGATGCAGGTAAATGAGGACTCTCCCGCGGAGTTTGTGAAAAAACTGTTGGTTGTCAGTCTTCAAAGTGCAGCATCGCGCTTGTGAGCAAATAAGTTTTCGTACTCACAAGAACATTCATCCTGTGCTCACGCATGCACTCAGCCAAATGAACATGAGCCCGAGCGTATGTTTGAAGTTCATGCGCACACTTCGTTTTCTTCAGCGCTCGAACATCAATGTTCGCACCCAAGCGCAGATGCTGGTTTCCTTTTTTTTTGCTGCTCCTCTTTTTCCTGGCTTATGCTGGTTTCCTTTTCAACATTTTGTTTTCGGGTAAACGTGTGGTGTTTGTGACGAACGCGAAAATATTTTAGTGGTGATTTATTAGCGTTACCTATTCAGATATCTTTTATCCCACTAAGTAATCGTCGGTAAGTAAGACTGTAACATTAAATATATTTATTCCAGCCGAAGCATATTTAGCTGTAGCGCTGGTAGTGATCCGCGCACTACGTCGTATGGCAGCCATTTCCATCCAAAAAACGCTTTGTGCTTAATTGTTTGCAAAATTTCTTGATAGGGCTGATTTCTATACGAAAGCTTCTTTATATAAGAAAGCTCTTTATGGGTTGTATTGGTATTTTTGTCAGACTAATTTGGAATTCACTATATAGGGGAATTTACGTATTCTCGTCAGTCTAAGCAGCGTCCGAACTTCTATTAGCGATTTCTCAGCGTCACACACATACATGACTGGTTTGTTTGTTGACATTTATCTGCTGCTTGCTGTTCTACCAATTCCAATCGACAGAATTGATCAAAACGGGTTGAACATGTTTTTACAACGCTCCAAACTTCTCAGGTGAGTGTGACTATTGTCGGCAGTCTCTTTTTCTTCGGCACCCTTTCCATTTGAACTGCATGTTAAGCAGCTGTTCTATTATCGGCAACTCGAAATCAGCCGTATTTTGTAGTGTGTATATTTAATTTAAAGAAAAATATGGCATAACAGGATTGCACAATCGTAAAAATGTAATCAGATTGAAATGAAAAGGTAAGGAATCGGCTTAATACATTCAGCGAAGAGTTTTGATGGGAAAATACAGTGAAATTAACGTTTCAATTTCGGTTGCCGAAAACAGTCAAAGGGTGCCGAAGCCATAATTTACCCTATTTCTTGTGTGAATGGATATACTTATTTTAATGACGTATACAACGGTCGAGGTACATAGGAACATCGATTTACGGAGGCAAACATATAACATTCTTATGCGATACCAGTTGTGACACAGTGACTGCAGAAGCCTCAGATAGCCTAGTGTTATTCTAAATGTTTTCAGCACCTGCTTACTTGTTTACTTAGTTATATTTTTAATTTACACTTATATACATTATTTTTACTTTTATGGGAAGAACAGCATGTGATTTTAAGAAAGGAAAATTCTCGAAAAAATGTAATTTATTGCAAACGATGTAAAGGGTCGTCCATTAATTATGTCACACATTTAGGGGGGGGAGGGGGTTTGGGTGTTTGAAAACTGTGACGAGCCATACAAAAAAAAATTAAGTTCCATACAAAAAATGTGACAAAGGGGGGAGGGGGGTTGAAAATGGGCCAAATTTGCGTGACATAATTAATGGACCATCCCTAATGTATTCTAGTGAATTTTCCCTTCTTTTGAATATAAGTGGTTTTTTCAAGTATATAATTCACTGATTTTTTAATATACAAGGATATATTTACATTTTTCATACCCCACTTAGTCTAGTGATAAGGTACGGTCTTCCAAATCAGAGGAGGTTCGATTCTCGTTCCAGTAGAGAGAATTTTCTCGATTTTCATGGGCATAAGATATCATTGTGCTTGCTGCTATACAATATATAAATTCTTGCATTGGTACCCCAACAAACAATTTTAGCTGCAGATTAGCATATGCAGGCAAAAACTAGCTGCATAAAGCAAATTAAGACTGTATAAGCTGATATGCAGCTGAAAATGCTAGTGGGACTGGCATCGAAATCTCAAAATAATAACTATAAAAATGCATCTAGAACACTACGTTGCTTTAAATGCGAAAAAGAAGAAGGAGAATAATAATAAATTTACATTTTTCAAGACATTTTGTAATATTCTCTTCCTTGATTATATTGTGGTGGATGCGCAAACCAATTGAAAAACAGTTTGATTAAGACGCAATCATTTCCGTTAAAAGTGTCGATGCGCAACATAAACGAAAAACAAACTTGTAAATCAAAATGACATTAATGTATACCAAGCATTTCCACTGGGTCTCAAATAAACATTCCTAAGAAATCCCAAATGCAATAAACATGTTTACTAGGTCAAGCGCAAGATCAACAACGCACGCAGACGGCGCAATGAATGAAATGATTGTTTGCATAGCTAAGCATACTTGCAATAAGCATAATCGATTGCGTGTGACTTTTGCCACATGGTATCGGGTCAATTCGTAAACAACAGGAAGCAACATATCAACATAGGACTTGGGAAAGATTCAGCATAAACAATATTGAATTCTATCTGCGCAATTGGTTAATTAATAAAACTAACTGAAACTGAAATATACATTATTCTACAATCGCAAGTCAGAGTGTTATTAACTTCGAATGCCAGTTCAATATTAAAGATTGTCCTTCTGGGAGTATAAGTCCTCTACGAACCTTCCTGTTCCTCGTATATTGTTCTGCTTGCATGATTCATAATGCATCATTTTAGATGACTAGTTTTGAACCCATCACAGCTTGCTTTGGGCACTACTAAATATGAGCGATTCCATGTAAAATACTTTTAAGGAAAAATATAAAATCATAATACGATCTCTATCTATAAACTATGAAAACAATAAAAAAATAAATGCGATCAATTGTTTTTAAATACAAAACCCTTTTTTAATTTTTTTGTTTTGAAAAACTAAATTACCTTTCATTTGGTATTTTGATCTATGCAATGGTTCAAAAGTTATGCATTTTTGTAATATAAAAAAAAGATACCACCCTAACATAGAATTGGTCACCGTAAAGACAAAATAAAAATTTTAAGGTCAAATATTTGACCATAAGGAACAAAACTACCAATTTTTACGAAATTCTGAGAACCACTACAGCGTTTTGCTATGGAATGGCTGTACATATAGCACTATACTTCGAAATCGTATTTTCTAATGTTAATTTGATAACCTTTGATTTCATGTCTAGCAAGTAATTGAAATGGAAAGTTCAGAAATAAAGGCACGCTATTTTCACTACGATGAAAATGAAAAACTGTTCAAATGCAAAGTTGAAGGATGTATTGGAAAACTCAAAGATTCTGCAAGTAGCTTGAGGAGACATATTGCCCAATTACATCCGAACATTGCATCGCAAATCGGAATCACAGGATACAAGCGAAAGTCAGATCAACTAAGTGTACCTCAAGAAGCCTCTCCATCTAAGAAACTGAAGACAGTAACTGTGCAAGTAGATCCTGTCGATTTTCAATGCGGATTAGTTGAAATGCTTGCCATAAACTCGGTTCCTTTTAACTTTTTTAACTCTAAAGCATTTCGATCGACAATTGGAATTCTCGCCAAAGCTCTAAATATTCCGTCATACGCTGAAGCAATGGCTTCGATGATCCCAAAAATTGCAAACATCATACGAAGCATGATTGCTAAGGAACTCAACGGATTATTTTCTTTGGAATTCGATGGTGCTCAACGGCACAACCGGAAAATTTTTGGGATCAATGCGAGAACTCTAGTCAATGGCAAGTTTTGAACGCGAACTCTGTCCATGATGGAAATAACCACACGCCAGACTGCTGAAAACTTGCGACTGCGAGTTGAAGAAGTTTTGAAGTTGTATGATTCCGGTGTGGTGCATATTTATTCGTGTACTACGGACAATGGCAAGAATATGCTAAAATGTGTACGGGAATTGAACAAGTCTCAGCACATGGCTCTCGATTCGGAAACTGAGTTAAGCTATGAAGACATGTTCAACAATGAAGAAGAGAAACACGATGAATATATTGCCAACTATGAAACAGCACAGGTAGATCAAGAAGTGGATGAGATGTTAGAGGCGGTAGAAAGCATTTTTCTGCATGGTAACGAATCTTGTATTGCTACTCTGAAATGTGTCGCGCATACAATCAACTTGGTGGTGAAGGACGTGATTAATGGAGAGGACGAAAGTTTGAAGAAAATCCGAAAAATAGTGAAATTCTGTCGGAAAACCGAATATAAACCATTTTTCGATTTGGCAAAAGTACCTCTTCCGAAAATTGACGTCGAAACCAGATGGGGTTCTATGTACGAGATGGTTGCATGCCTATATGCCCAAAGTACTTTTTATAAAGATTTGGGCTGCAAATTTGATGAACTCCGGCTTACAGAGGACGACTGGGATTACGTCATAGAATTTTCATGTGCATTTGAACATGTGTATGGTCTAACAAAGAATCTACAATCGGATGACTTAATTTTGGGTGACGTGTATAAGTTTGTGAAGATGTGTCAGCTGAAACTAAAACAAGTCCCACCGGGCAACAGGTTTTCCGAAAAAATTGTTCATGCATTAACCACTCGAGCAACAGTAATGATGGATAATAACGCATTCCGGGCCGCGTTACTATTCGATCAACGCTGGTGTTTCATTGACTCTCCGTATGTTACGACAGACGACAAGCTTGCTGCAATTGTAAGTATTTTTTGTTGTTGTTTCAAATATTAAAAAAATAGTATCGATGTCAACTGACAATACATGGGAATTTGGTTTGTAATGATTTTTCTGATCTAAATCACTTTCAAATGACTGTGATACTGTGATTATATATGTTTATGGGTTTCGTCCATATGCGTTTTGGACTTTGAAGAAAAAAAAATGGAAGCCCTTGACTGAAACACTGCTCAAATAGGATCAAAGTTATTTGAGTATAAATTACGACTGAAAAAAAAGTTACATTGGAAGTTTCCTTGAAAATAATATGTAGTTTCCTTGTATATAATATGTTGAAATTATACGAGATTTATATAAGCCCATTGTTTCACAGTACCTTTTCCCATTTCTTATTATTTAATCCACACAGGAGCACATTCTTAAAGTAAGCAATATTTTAACAACATTTAATACCAGGATGGAACAGCAACCGGGAACATCGAATCAAGATTCTAAAAACCCAACAGAAGACGATTTGGAGGCTTTACTCGAGGAAGAGTGCCAGCAAGCATCTACTTATAGGTTGTGCCCTTCTCAAGTTGATCTTAAGCTGAGGCTTTTGGATTTGGCAAACACAAAAAGTCGACTTCCAGTCAACACAGATTTTGTGAAATATTGGGAATCTCGACGCTATGAAGATCCACAATTGTATGCACTTTCAACGATTGCATTGTCCGCATCAGCTACGCAGGTCTCAGTTGAGCGGTGCTTCTCGGCAATCAAGCTATTGCTGGAGCAACATCGGCTGCGAATGTCCCCACAAATGCTTAATGATTTGATGACCATTCGGTTCAGTCGTGATTTGCTGCCTGCTGCCATTAACAAATTCCAAAAAACTGTATAAATAGTTTTTATTTTTTGGTTATTTGTTATTTTGATTTTTAACTGATTGATTCAATTTGTTGTTTTATTGTTTATGTGGTTAAGTAAATGGAAACTAAAAAATGAGTATATTACTGAGCGTAAAAGAATAAAACCCACCAACCATTTTCCAAATTTTTGTGCAGCTTTTGTCCGACATTCCTTTATTCCAGAATACTGCATCAACTTCCTCTATCAATCCTTTTTTATTACTAAATAAAAATTGAACTGCACTATAAACATTGCGCAATGCTTGACTGACTTTAAGTCTTTTAAAAGCATTTTTTAATTAATTTAATTAATTGCAACTACGCGCAGTCAGAAAGATATTGGTGTTGACGATTGTCGCAAAACCGGACAAAATCTCTCTTTAAATTACCCACGTTAAACCGCAATTATCATCTCGCCAACACCAACCATCACGTAAAACCTCCGAGTGCAACCCCGATGTTCGAGCACAAGCGCAAGCACGAAACATCAAGCCTGAGTTCATTTGCGCTGCGCTCATCCCCAGGTGTTGTTCATTTCTCTCAAGTTCGATGTTCGTGTGTAAACATGAGCTTGAGAGAGAACACGCGCTCTGAATGAACTTGCACTTCTAAAATTTGAACTCACGCTCAGCGCCGTGCATGTTTACGTGAAGACTGCCTCGGATCATTGGTGACATCGGATAACAACTGCAGCAGAGAAATTCGCTGGCGTATTATTGCCGGAAGTCGTGCTTACTACGGACTCCACAAGACCCTGAGGTCGGGTAAACTTCACCTCCGTACTAAATGTACCATGTACAAGACGCTCATAAGACCGGTAGTTCTCTACGGGCACGAAACGTGGACGATGCTCGAAGAGGACCTGCAAGCACGAACGACGAGTGCTTAGGACCATATTTGGCGGGGTATGTGAGAACGGTGTATGGAGGCGAAGGATGAACCACGAGCTGGCGCAACTATTTGGCGAACCCTGTATCCAGAAAGTTGTGAAATCTGGACGGGTACGATGGGCAGGACACGTTTTGAGAATGCCGGACAACAATCCCCCAAAAATGGTGTTTGCCTCGAATCCAGCCGGTACAAGACGAAGAGGAGCACAGCGAGCAAGGTGGTAAGAGCAAGTGGTGCAGGATCTTGGAAGTGTGGGACGGTCAAGAAATTGAAGACAAGCAGCCACGGACCGAGTGAATTAGCGTAACATTGTGATGCAGGTGCAATCCTGATCGATGTCGGATCATGATAAGTAAGTAAGTATCAAAATACAGGATACATTAATTTCATGATAATTCTCGATAATTTCATCTATCAAGAAATGGAAACTTGAAACTAATTAAGAAGAATTTCAACTTGTTTTGATCAGATTAGCAAAAATGTGCAATCTAATGATTTTGAAATTCCTTCGATCGTCATAAATTATAAGCCCCACATCAACAGCACGGTTTTCATTACCTGATTTAAAAACAGCTCTTTTAAAAATTTACATAATGTAAGCAAAGAAAGTAACCCATCGCCCTCGATGCAAACCATCAGTTTAACCGAAACGTAGTGTGCAGTTTCCCCCAAGAAAATTATATCAAAAATAAAAAAAAACTAATTCCATGCGATTTTTCACCAGCGATCAAACTTTTCTAAAGAACTTCAAACGGTTCCATTGCTAAATATTTATGAGCTGTTGGGTGAACACAGGAATGCACAAGCATCTACGAACATGGCGTGCACCAGCAGCAGCAGCAGCACACACCAGGTGTGTACAATCAACCCATAAACTATGCACATTCCCTCGGTGTACGATGAAAATTTATGCGTTGAAAAAGTTTTTATTCTTTTTCTCTTCCATTTTCTAGCAGCATTCATCAACACGCTTTTTTTTGTTGAACATATACCTACTAGTTTAGTATATTTGATGTGCTGACAGATTTTTTGCCGTTCGCTTGAAGCACATATGTGCTGAGCTGTGCTTTTTTTGAAAATAGAAAAAGTGTCACAGGGACCAGCTCTGCTCCCTTCTGTGATGGTCTTTTGTGCGATTTCAACGTCGCTCGCCTCGCAACACTTTCATCGTTGCTGGAAAGGAACAACTTTTTTTTTATTGACAACTTCCTGGCAAACATATGCTGACTTCCAAGGACGCGTTCAATAAAGCGCTCGATTTTATTGGCTGATGAAACAAGTACATGAACCCCTCATCCGGATGATGGTTGTTGGTAAAGCTTTACGACCCTTGAAAGTTATTCAAGAACAATACAAAGTATGCAATGAATTAAACTATTTGATGGTCCCACCGGTAAGTAGCTACAAGCTTCGGTAGTAACGATCAAGAATGTGACATCCAGTGCCCTGAAATGAAGTCATCAATTGACACTCACAAAAGCGCACCAAACTACCGGAGCGAAACCGTCTCCTCCAGTCCATATCCCACATTCTCATCGGAGGGGTGACATTAAAACGATTACCAACGATTATCTGCAGTTTAAACTCGTTAGCCAGAACTAATCTAGAACCCGAAGGAATGTTGAGCGCAAACAAGAGAAAGAAAGAATAAGTTCGCATATAAGCAATTATAGTAATTATACAAGCAGTAGCAGAAGATTCTTTTTCCACGAGAGTGCTTCTGCCACAGGAGCTTTCTCCACCGAAAGCTAGCCGGACTCGTAGGTAGTAAGTACCTGCCGTGTGGCCCCTGCTCCTCCCGTTTGTTCAATGTTGGCGGCACAATGGAATTGTATTCTGCATCTTTCTTGCCAGAATATCCCAACAACGACGTCGTCGAAGGAAAGCACTTGAAAAACTGGAACACAAGTGGCGGTGTGTGGAATGAAATTTTAATTGCTAGCATTACCGAAGCGAAGTTTTCCTCCTTCTGGCCTCCGACATACGCGCTGATTCCCATGCCTTAAAGCCGGTGCCATCAACCTAGTCCTGGTGGAGGATCCTACCCCTCCACCTCCTCGTCTTCCTCCTCGTAAACGAATGGTTTTCTAACATTCGCGTTGAGGTGATCAAATACCCAAATTTACCAACGCAAAAACTTAGGATGCATAGGTTTGATGTCCCCATTGTTGGCCTAAATGTCCGTTTTATATTGAACTTATACATACATTTCGAATGAAAACATTTTTTTTTGATAATTATTTACTAGTAACGATAAATATCAATTTGTTTTTAATTATAGTTTTTAATTATAGGCCCAATCTTAAGATTATTTGGCCAACATTATTTGGCGCTTGTACGCGAGTATGAAGTCTTTCGCTGTGACCGAAATCCTAAAAACAGTCGGAAATCTAATGGAGGTGGTGTTCTTGTGGCAGTCCGTTCCGGTTTGAAGACGAGAGCTTTAGAAAATGACGCGTGCGACTGTGTGGAACAAGCATGGGTTGCCGTTGAACTGAGTGATCGCACACTGTACTTATGTGCGGTGTACATTGCTTCTGACCGTGTTCGTGACAACGAACTTATCGAAACCCATTGTCGATCCGTTTTCGCCGTAATGGAAACTGCAACTCTGGTTGATGAGATAATTGTTCTGGGTGGCTTCAATCTAGCCTGTGTTTCGTGGAAACCATCTCACAGTGGCTTTCTCTATCCAGACTCTGTACGCTCTGTACTTCATACAGGATCAGTTAGCCTTCTTGATAGCTATAGTGCAGCACCGCTATCTCAAATCAATGACGCAGTTAACGAGAAAAATCGAAGCTTAGACCTCTGTTTCGTTAGCGCTCAGGACACTGATCCAGTTATCTCCACGGCACCTTCTCCACTAGTAATGAAAGTTCCTCATCATCCTCCTTTGGTTGTCACTGTCCAAGATAGTCACGTTCGGGATTTTGAAGACATTTCCACAAACGTGTCATACGATTTTCGGAAAGCTGATCATAGTGTTCGTATTGCGAACGAGCAGCGCAAAGAGTGTGGCCTACCATTGTCAATGATGTTCAACGGAGAAGTTGCTTCCACCTCTCAGGAGATCTGTCGCTTGTTTTCAGACAAGTTTGCCAGCGTATTCTCTGATGAGATATTAACCGACGACCACGTTACCCTAGCAGCTAGTAATGTACCACTCTCCGTTGAAGCGTTGGGTGCAAGCAGGCTTCCGGAAATCTCACGCGTACACAAATGCGACAGCGAGCTGTGAGACGGAGCGTCGCATGACTCTCAAATCCATGGTGTGCTACATTATTGTACAAAAGAGAGACCAGAACGATGCGCGCGACAAGCTACACGCTCTCAACAAATTCGAGCGTTTCAATTTTTGTTTGTCTCATCGCATTGCTCTCTCAATGCGACGCATGTATTCAATCACATGCGACTGTTTCATTGAAACATCTCAATGCGCTCTCTCAGGGCGCCATCGCCGTGCGCTGTTTCGCATGCTTTGACTCTCGCGGTCCCATCATAGGTGATGTTGTCGGGTGACGAGATAAGGGACTGCAAGGGTTTGTTCACAGAAGACTTGTGTTGCACATGTGGATTTTGAAATGGGGTAAAGTTTTTAGATGGTTCCAGAAATATCTTCTAGTATAGATTCAAGCAGACTCAACTCATGGTTCCAGAGATATACTGGAATCACCGTAAGATAACCACTAATGATCCTAGGAAGACGCAATTGCTTGTCGAAAGGATGCTAAAGGAAGGTAAAGGAAGGCTACGTGAGCGGTGGATGGCAACTTTACGGTAGTTGGGATACCGTTAGCATGTTAGCACCCAAATAATACCGGAATATCTGTGGAACTATGTGTCCTTCAACAAGTCCTTATGCGGAAATCTTCTAAAATACATTTTTTGGAAGCCTCTGAAGCTTTCAGCCCATTTGGTCGAAAAATAAACAGGTTATTGCGCATTTGCACCAAATTAAACTCAGAATCCCTCAGAATACTTTTACTCAGACCAGTAAAAATATAAATGGACGCTTTTGAATGTAAAACAGCACTATACTATACAAGATCATATGGTCGGCCTTAAGTCAGAAGGGACTAAGTAGCAAAATAAAAACAAAAAATGAGTTAATGATATCATAAGATCAAGAATTCCCTCAGCTACATTTCAATTTTTCAGCCAGATTTGAAAAATTAGAGTAGCACGAGAAAACGGTCAAATGATTTTTCCCATTACATAAGACACAATATTGAACAGCCAACTTTAAATTCGTTTTTCTCAAAATCAAATAAAAAATTCACATTTCGGTCTGACTTGACCGATCATATCAACACGCGAGTAATGATAGAACTCTGAAGATTAATACTTTTATTTGTCTGGCTTGAGTGAACACTATTTTAAGGGATTATTTTCAACGCAGAAATGTACTTTGCTGCAAAAACGTTGGTGGTGACTTCTCATTGCATACACACAAGTCTGCACTTAAAAATTAACCAAGTTTAACATATGTAAATGTGTTCTGTCAGATCAATTGAGTTGAAATTTTTGACACAAAACTTGCTTTTCCATTGACCTTTGTTCGATCAGCTATGCACAAATTTTATTTTTATTGTCACCTTCCAGCAGGTGCTTCAAAAAATTTGGTATTTCTTACACGTGAAATTCAACATATTTGTAGTTTTGCGTCAAAATTTCAGCCCAATTGATCATAACAAAACACATTTATAACATGTTAAACTTGGCTAGTTTGTATGAAAACAACCTTTGTCCGATCAACTTTGCACCACAGTGTACGTAGGTACGAAATGCTGGATTAAGGTTAAAGTAATAAATTTAGGAACAATTTGTGTCATATCTGTATTACGGATTGTTGCTAAGCTTCTTGCTTCAGGAATTGTATTGAATACCTGTCAATCAACAAAACTTACTACGGCAGCAACAGAATTCTTCAGATGTGTTAGCGCGCACAGGATAGTTCATATCAGCCACCATGATGCTGAATTGAAACAATCAATTTGCGACAACAGATTTCTAAATAGTCCTAGTGTTAGTACCGTGGACCCTCGGTGAAATAAAAAAAAGCATATTAACGAGCAAATAAACCACAACTTGATTGTATATTTCGCTTACCAAAGCCACATCTCTTACTTCGTTCATTATGAATGGGCTATTTTTCAAGTTAATCCTTTAATCAACGAAAATTGCCGCTATGAAAACTTTGTTGGTCATAACCATCCGACACCTCTTCTCCATGTTCGATAAGAGTGTAGTAGCTAGGTCGCTTTCCATCGTTTCCAAAACAAAACAACACTTTCCCCACATCAAGAACACGAGTTGGTCTTCCAGTTGAGTTTGTTATTTCGATGTCGCATTGAAACGTCGCTTAGCGACGTCTCATTGCGAAAAGCGCATGAGCTTCGGCTCATGCGACGTCGCATGATACTCGTTCTCATGAAACGCATACATCCGGAAATGTGCTGTGCTTACAAAACAGTGCGACACACAGACATTATGAGAATGTGAGATGCGACAAAACTGAAGAGAGAGAAACAGAGTGCTACAAATCTCTTGCGCATGAGACTGCTATGATTATGAGACTATTCGTATTGCGTCTCGCATACGGTAGCGCGCGCCCTGGAAGCCTGGGTGCAAGTGACATCGACGTCGAGATGATTTACACTGCCGCACAACAACTTAAGTCGTCCTTCAACCTAGGACCCGATGGTTTCCCATCAGTATTTCTGAAGAAGCATATCGCCAGCTTGCTGACACCGTTGCAGCATCTATTCCGCATGCCCATCTCGAGTGGTATATTTCCATCCATTTCCATCTGGAAATTTGCGTTTCCTGTTCACAAAAAGGGAAACAAACGGGACGTGGATAATTACCATGGAATCACATCGTTGAGCTCAGTTTCGAAGTTATTCGAGTTAGTGATCATGGAGCCCCTGCTTTCTCATTGCAGTATTTAAGTAGTGATCAACACGGCTTCGTTTCCGGTCGTTCTATTACCACTAACCCTAGTAGCACCCTTTCTATAAATTGGTTTTAGAAACTTCTTTACGACTTATTTCAGTTATAAACAAGTTGCTGCAACTTTTTGGGACAGAATTGTGCTACTTGGGAATCTAATTTGTCTGACATCGTATGTCACGGAAAGCATGACAGAACGGGCTCAAACAGACGTAATTTACACCGACTTGTCGGCTGCATTTGATAAACTGAACCATGCAATTGCGATTGCTAAGTTAGATAGACTCGGGGTAAATGGCAACCTCCTGCGATGGTTTCGCTCTTATCTCAGTGATCGCCAGCTGATGGTAACCGTTGGTGAATGTCAGTCTGCTACTTACCCAGCCACGTCAGGGATACCTCAAGGAAGTCACCTAGGCCCGTTGATTTTCCTGTTGTACTTTAACGATGTGAATCTGGTCCTCGAAGAACCTCGTCTATCGTACGGAGATGATCTTAAAATCTATATCCGGATCCGTTCTATCGCTGACTGTCACTTCCTCCAATGCCAGCTCGAAGCGTTTGCTAACTGGTGCAACTTGACCCGAATGGAGGTCAACCCAGCGAAGTGTTCAGTTATCACCTTCTCTCGCAAGAAGGAACCGATCATGTTCAATTATGTACTTCAGGAAGCAACTATCAGCCGTGTCAACCACGTAAAAGACCTGGGAGTTATTCTGGATTCCCAGTTAACGTATAAGCAACACATCTCGTTCATTGTCGACAAGGCGTCAAGATCTTTGGGATTCATTTTCAGGATGGCAAAGAATTTTTCCGATATATACTGTCTCAAATCGCTATACTGTTCCCTGGTGCGGTCCATCCTGAAATATTGCTCTGCAGTATAGAACCCAAGCTATAACAATGGTGCTGAAAGAGTTGAGTCCGTTCAGCATCGATTTCTTCGATTTGCTCTGAGGAAGCTGCCTTGGAGAAACCCTTTTCGTCTACCCAGTTATGAAATTCGATGTCAACTGATTGATCTGAAGCTTATATTTAATCGGAGCGACACTTTGCGGGCCCTGCTCATTGCGGATAGTTTACAGGGTTTGATTGTTCTACAATCCTGAATAAGATCAACGTGAACGACCAACCCCGAGCGCTGCGAAATAACGCTATGTTAAGATTGCCTCAGCATCGCTCTAACTATAGGATGAACGCTGTTCAATCGAGTTTCTTCAGTGTTCGATTTCAACCTGACACGAGACATGCTACGCCGGCGCTTTTCCCGTATTTTCTCTGACGCAGTAAACCGTTGAATGACCATGTATTTTATTTTATTTTATTGTGTATTTTAGTAAGCTGGACTATGTATTTTAATGTTATTCACTTAAACATCATTGGGGCTACACTCAGCCTGTTAATGTTAACTAATAAATAAATAAATAAATAAATAAACATTAGAGCTATTTCGCCTATATGTTGATTTTTCAACACCCCGTCCACAGCCTTGAGGTACATGTACAATTGTCTTTTTATGCTCAATGGGAGTCAACTTCTACACTTTTCATACCTTCAACTCCTGATCTCTCGCTAACTCAACCACTTTTCCCATACACATTTTCAAAATTTTCTTCCATAACTTGGTGTCCGTCTAAGTTTGAAGCTTACTTCAATATCAAGTACGGGAGAGTTGGCTGTGCAACAGTTGAGTCAATTTGAGCATTTGTGGTATATTGTTCATTTTCCGCTCATTTCGTTTTTGTTTAAAATATATCGAAAATGATACTGTTTTATTCCACCACCGGAAAATCTATCTAAATTCTTATCAAGGTTTATTTTAACTCTCCCCGTTAGTGCATCTGCTTTCCTCCAGAAGCTTCTTCCGACATCATCTGTGTGTATTTTCCAGACTTGCTCCAGAAGTTTCTTCTAACTGCTACAAAGAGATTCATACAATTTATCCTGGAAGCTCCTGATGACTTTCCTCAGGGTAACCTTATTTCGTGTCAGTATAAATGGTGTATTTTGTAATCTCCCAGTGGGCATTGTTATTTTCGTCTACGCCGACAATATCGTCATTATGGCCGCCGGAAATACCATAAACATCCTCCATTGGCATCTGGTGCCGGATTCCAAATGTCGGCGGAAACAATTCGTTCACCCACATCTGCACCCATGTCTTTGTCCATACCCATCATGATTGGGACCTAGATTATACCGCAACGAACACCCTCAAAATCCTCGGAGTGTGACTCGACCGCAGCCTTTCTTTCTAGACCCACTTTTATGAGGCTACGGCCAACTGCCAAACTCGACTGAACCTACTCCGCTCCTTCATCAGACGCTATCCCGACAGCAACCGACACCTACGAATCCGTATCTCCAAGGCGATCATCGACTCCCGGCTTACGTACGGGATCGAACTCACGTGCATGACTCGATCGACCCTCGTAGAAAAACTATCTACTGTCTATTACCATCCACCCCTGGTTTAGCTGCCTGCGTTGAGGGTGGCAGGGACCGACTTATCGACATGACCATCAGCCGCCAGACCATCGGATTTCTTGAGAAGGCTACGGGTTCTAGCGAATGAGTGTTCCTCCTCGAGGAGGCCAACCAACTCCTTACCAGAACTGCCAACCAGACCCTCCCCCAGTGTCCAAGGTCCAACAAACGATCAAGGTCGGTTCCACCGGTTTTTCACCGACTCAGCCAGTGTTGTAGCCGCTATTGATGCCGAACACCCAACTCACCCATGCATACAGGCCATCCTCTCGAGTACCCCACCTGTTGCCTGGATACCCGGCCACTGCACTATGGGCGGCTCCATACAAAGTGGTGGCCAAAAATATTTTATTGGTTTTTCCGCACTTTTTGATGGTATTATAGTAAGTTAAGCATAAAATTAGTCATATTTATGTATTTTCATCGCATCCGGAAGGTGTAACTAGTATTAAACCCAGTAATGAGCTACTTATTCCTGAACAATAAACTTGAAAGTTTGTTTTTAATTTTAGGGACAGTTCAAATGCAAATGAAAACTAGAATAAGGTTGCTGTGCATAAGATTAAATAGGAAAGTTGAAGATGGAAACCGCCCCCCCTCCCTCCTAGCCAAGACCTGACCCCTCCCCATTTTTTTTATATATGTGATATAAGAGTATTGTTTTACCAATCAGGTATTTTGATGAAGAATTATTTGTCTATCGAACCTCCCCTCTACTGAAAATATTTTTTCCGTCCAAATCTCGCCTTTAGCATCATAAGGGCGTATCTGCATTGATCGATTTTCGTTAATAACTTGGCCAAACCGAAACCGATCGACGCAATTTTTGGACAGTGGCAAGATGTTATGATCAGTGCTGCGATTTGTCATTTTCATTGAGAAAACTTCAGTGGACATAGACAAAATTCATTTCAGCAGCAACACTGATAGAACTGAAAATCAAAATTTCCTTTGTCAAAATCTCACTCTTTTCTTTGTCAGTGACAAAGATTCCCTTGGTGAAAAAACTTTGAATTTGCGTATTCTGTGTCACATTATTGTTCTCCAGGCTGATAATGATGATGATTCGTATTCACTTTGATGGTTCTATGTAACTGTTTTGCTAAATTAATTTGATTTCGATAGTAATTCAGCAAATGAAAAAACTGCACATCGTCGTCACTGATAGTAATATCACTGACAATTGATATTGATTGCTACTGATGGTGACTCTCTGCTGAAATGAGTGACCAGGGTTGTTTTGTTATTATCAGTTTTTAGTGCCAAAATTTTGCAGCACTAGTTATGATCCTTTTCCGTCAGTAAAAAAATCACGTCGATCGGCTTCGATTTGGTCAAGTTATTAACAAAAGATAAAATCGATGAAGACAAATCGATCAATGCACTTATGCCGTTATGATACTCAAGGCGAGAGATAAATCATTAAAGCTAGTCGAAAGGATTATTTTTTTTTACTATGTTTCCATTATTTTTACTGAACACATATCAACATCGTTAACTAAGTTGAACTACATTTTTTATACTGCAGGGATGAATATACTACAAAATAAAACATAATTTTCTTTGACTAATTGTCATAATAAAATTTATTTAATAACTTTCTCTTAAAACTAATTTAAATTCACAAGCAATTCTACTCATTTTCTACATTTTCATCAAGACCAAAATCATCATCCAGTTGTTCAACATCATCCATTGATGCATCTAGTGCATTGCCTTCAGTGTTTATATTTTCAGAGCTGTCAAGATCTTCGAATGCTAAAAGTGATTTCACAACATCTGGATATTCAAGTGATACCTGCTTTCGGATTCTATTACCTAGATTTATTGAACTTATCAAAGGATCAGATGAGTTCATAGCTCGAATAAAGACGTCATGTAGATTATCAACTCGTGACCTTTTCCTAGCATGATGGGTACGACATTTTTTTAGTAGTTTATGTTGGCACTCTGCTGCTTCCTCAGCTAACATGCCAAGAGGAGCAGGTGAATGGATTATTATGCTTCCAGCGTGAGCGAGTACTTTATGCACTGTTGCTGGAATTTGATACCAATCATACAAATTAAGATACCGCCGATATGTTTCATTACAATAGTCATCCATTTTTTAGGATTGATCGGGTCTTGGCAATTGATTACTATTAAAATATTACGAAATCTAATAATAAGCTCTTCGTCGATATCCAAAACTTTGGAAAGTAATTCAGGAGTTGAAAATGCTTTTCGACACACATTTCCTGTTGTACTGGTCCCAGCTCCGCCTGCCCTGGGTTGATCAACTCGTACTCCGAACGCTTCGTACATTTTTTGAGTAACGAGTTTTTTCCGTTCAAGATATTTGGCCTTTAAATCCTTCGTGATCTTCCACGTTTTAATTTCCATCCTATAGGAAATATGTAATAAACACTAAAAAAAATCGCATCCAAGCGTGCAGTGGAGATATGCCGTAATGCAGAGCATCTTCGTTCGAATCGTATCCTGCTTCAAACTTCTGTAAAGTATAAAAAAACATTGTTATTTTTATGGCCCTTAAAATTTGAAAAAAAAATATTACCTCTATATCACTCATTGCATTCGGAGTAGCTCCACAAATCGGACAGTTGGACATGGAAGAAGTATCAGTTACATAATTAAGAACTTTGCCGTCGATCATACTCATAACGAAAATAAAATCAACCAAAACATATTCATCATTCGATAATTGGATTTTTACTGGAACAAGCTGACTTATTTGATTTTCAATATATCTCTTGGTGTTAAGCACCATATCTTTTGACTCTTTGATAAATTCCAGCATAATTGGCCTACAGAACCGAATGCTTTGGCGTGTCAAATTATGCCACAAAATGTTTTTCTTGTTGTTCTTATAATAAAGTTGTATAGGAGTAGTTGTCACTGAAAAGACGTCACTGTCATCTTTTTGATTTGGCGTTGATAGCGCTTGGTTGTATTGTGAATAGCCTGTTGAGCCATCCATACCCCAGCTGCTTAAAAGCACTAGCTCTGTGTCATCGTTGATATTCATTTGTTGGACGATTTCCGCATCGATGATTTGAATGATTATTTCTATTGTATGATTCATGAGTGCCTGTAATTTGACCTGAAAAGAAAAAAACATTTAAAGTTGGTGTACTGGAAAAATATGTGGATATTTATGTCTACCTGAATTTTTGATGATGACTCTTCGATTGACTCGGCTGAAGGTGAGCATACTTTTTTCATACTCTTAATTACTGATGGGTTCTTTTTCACTGTTTGCTCATATGCATATTTAGAAAAATCGCAGTCTAAAAAATATTCGAACGCCTCTTCAGGTGACATCATTCCATTCGAATCTTTGAGAGTCGTAAACATTTTAAATGCACTTTCTCGATTTTTGGGAACATGGCCAATCAAATTCACCATATTTGAATCCCCATGTCTATACGCAATTTGTCTTGTGAGTAAAAGAGCCCTTTCTATAGTGTCAACATTACCGCCAAATATTTCATCGGTTTTCCTTCGCTTACTTCTATCACTAAGCTCATCAAACTTTTTTTTTTTTTTTTTTCCTTTATTAACGAGACTTTCAGCCTTAGGCTGGTTCATCTCTATAACTCATCAAACTGTTTTTGTGGACGTCCGCGTCCATCTTGGCCAGTTGACGTTGAAGGTGTTTCTGCGATGTACTCTGCAAGTTCCAAATGACTATCGAGCCAATCCTTATTGTATTTCTCAAAGCGCTCTTGTAGGCGGTGAGCCTTTTGCCACGCATTGTAAAAATGTTGTGCTACGAACTTCAACTTTTTAAGAAGTTGTTCTTCTTTGGCAAGATCAATATTATATTTTTTCTTGATATATTCAAATGCTTTTGTTGCATTGACTACTTGAGATTCTTTTGGATCAAAAAGTAACACGATGCTCCTATGATCCATATTATCACAAACAATTGTTTTCAGATTTTCGATTAAACTACTGCACAATATTGTTGTTAGCACACACACGTTGTTAGCGTTAAAGCCGAAAACAAACTCATGATTTGAAAATATTGTCCTCGTCTTTTAAATGCAAGTAGGTAACATCAATAATAGTTTTACCTAAGTTTAGTGGGTAGAAATTGTAAAATGGCACTCGAACATTTAATTTCCTTTTGGTAGTGGTCTTTCTTTTTCCGTTGGTTATTATATATTGAAAATATCAAAAGGTTATCGTGAAAACATTGAAAACTTTTTAGTCCAGTTGGGTAGATACGGTTTCTATATGTAATGATAATTTTCGGTCTGTTTTTACCCATTTTTAACAACAATAATAATTAAGTGTGCAACATTTTTAAGACCAAATTTGACATTTAACAGTTCCACTTTTCAACCAGTGTTTAATTTGTACGATTATTTTGGTTAATGCTCGTATAATCGATGTATATGTAATTAACAAAAAAAAACATTTAAAAAATCATTTTTATAGACCCTAAACTAAAACGTAGTGGTGGTCTCTTGAGACTGCTCGGCCCTGCTCGTTAGATATAGTCCAACTTAGGCAAAAAATCTTTTTTTTTTCAATAATTGCCCTTTTTTAACCAATTTTAATTAACCGTGTAACCTTATCAACATACCCATTTTAAAGTTTCAACAATTAGCTTTCCAACGGTGTATTAAATTCAATGTTTAGACCGTTATTCGCTGAGAAAATTGCATTTGTTTCAAATGCATTTTTTCTACAATTTTCAAAATTTTCCTAAGTCTGATGTCTGTGGCGCAATGAGTTTTCATCACAGAGGGCTGAAATTTTGGGCATCTAGGTTTGAACTATCTGGCTATCAAATGGTTTACAAGATACGTCATTCAAAGCAAGTCAATTTTTCGATTTTTGGCCACCACTTTCCCCATAGTGCACTGTGGAATCCAGGGCAATGTAGCCTCGCCTCCTCCGGTAGACATATGTGCCGTATATAGTCCCTGGCTAGAACTCAACAATTTGATTTTTAGCATCACTTGGGAAGCATGTAAAAGGGACTGGATTAACTACCACGACCTCCTCATCAGGAAAATCAAAGGAGACATGGGCAAATTAGAGGATCCAGCAGACCATCCATTGTCTTCGCCTGTCTAA